ACATAATAACAAACAGCCATGTTTGAACTAAAAAAATAAAAGATGAGAAGAAAACCATTATGTATTAACACCTGAAACGAAGAGAAGAAGAAGCCAGCAAGCTTTATTCTTCACGGAAGAAGAATAAGCCATTGTTGTGAATATATTTATGAAACAAAATATCAAGAATGACAAACTAAAAATAATGTATTGCTATTTGAAGGTTGGGTATATGATATGCTTTTGTGGGCTGGTGGTACGTGAATTTATAGACTTGCATGGCGAGAAAATTGACAAGAATTTCACGAATCCTATTGAGATTTTGAATTGGTTGGGTGACGTGTTTTTAAAAAAATGAATAAATTTGATTGGTTCAAACACTTTGCATAGCGTCACTTTGCTAAATCTTAGAAGGGAGGGATTACACTTCTTTTCCAATTCTAATTGGGTTTATATTACATATTTAATTTTACTTTTTTTCTTCTTTGAGTATGGTTGGGTTTACTCTTTCTACCACAAAAGGGAAAAGATTAAAAATGGATAAAAAGAAAGGGGTTTCCAATTCAACTTAAAAGAATGTTTAAGAAGTTTTATTCCTAATCGTTCACCTTATTATGGATTCTTAAAAAAAGTAGCATAGTGAATATAACAAAGGGTTGGACTAAATCCACGCTCCTAGTATTAAAATGACAATAAAGCCCATAGTCGTTTTATAAAAACTTCTTTCAATGTAAAAACTTGTCTTTCATACAACAAGAGATGTTTAAAAAATCAATTACAAATTTTAATTAATTTAAATTGTTTAATACCATCATCCTAATTATATATTGATCCGCTAGTATTTTCTAAAATTATACTTCAATCAACTTTGAAGTGCAATGTGCCAAAAAGGTAAAAATATTCTTAAAACAATTTTAAAAAAGAAAATCTCTCATCTCTTCTTACATGATTAAAATAGATAAAAACAACCAAATAAGAGGAAAAAAATAAATGCCATCAAAGTGAATGAAAAAATGTCGGAAATTTTAAAACCATTCATAATTTTGTAAATTTTAAACCCAAATTAACACCCTATACATTTTTTAACACCTAATTTTTTATCAAAAGGGTTTCTACCAAGCTCCATAAATGCTATAGGTTTTTGGTCAACTTAGTTGTAAGGGTGTGAATTTAGATTGTAGAAGTGTGGAATTAACCCCATCCTATAACAAAACATTACTCAACAAAATTTCTAAGTGCTGTTTAAAATTGGGATAATTTCAGGTTCTAAGTGCTGTTTAAAATTGGGATAATTTCAAAACCCTCCCTTGAGGTTTTTCACAATTTCACCTAGTTTTCTTGAGATTTCAAAAATTACACATACCTTCCTTTAAGTTAGTATTATGGCAACAAAAATTATTTTGTGGTCAAAATTTTGAATGAATAAATCTAAAACGCCCTCATGAAATTGTGAAGTTCATTTTACTTTCCCATAAAATTCTTAAAAATTTTGAAACATAAACAACATCACAAAACCACTTTCAACCCTAGTCTCTACTATCCCAAACCTTCCACATTTTCACATTTCGAATTAGTACCATTATCTCTTTGACCACTACCACCATCAGTTCCTAAATTCTAAAACCTCAAATTAAACGAAAAAATCAGCACTTTTAAATCTGAAAAAAATTTCACCAACTGCATTAATATAACATCCTATTCCTCAAATGTTAGAGTACTAACGTTAGTCTCATCATTCTTAAACTTTCAATTCATATCTTCTTCTACTCATCTGTAAATCCTTCAAACAAAACTAGAATAAATTTGTAATATGTTTCAAATTGTGTTTATAACATAATTGGTTATTCCTTGAGTGAACCTTATTTTAGTTTCCATTTAATGTCTAATTGTGTGACATGCATTCATAAGCACAAGATTAGGAGCGGATTATTTAATTGCATGAAAAATGTGGATATGTTAAGCTTATTATGATTATTTTATAAGGCCTAGGAATTTGTCAGAAGCTAGGTGAAAACCTCAAGGATGCTAGGTGAAGTTGTTAGAAACTTTAAGGGAGGTTTCTGCAATTATCCCTTTTAAAATTCTTTATAAGATGAAGTTTAATTTCCGTATCTTCTAAAAAAAATAAAAATCCATAACTGATTGGATTTCCGATAGTTTCAACTTTCAAGTATTAAAATGCATTTAACCTCTTTCAGGATGAAAATTTAAAAGTTTTTAATATGTTGTCAGAAAATGTTAGTCCAGATGGAAAATATGATTTTCTTTTTCACCATCTTTTCTATTTTTTGCTTGAATAGTTGCCAACAATATACAAAGAAATCAAAGGATGATTGCCACTTTAAATGGAGATAACAAACTTCTCTTCGCAAAATATTGTGAAAGCATGTGACAAATTTAAAGCGGTGCCAGAATAGACTTTTGGTTGCTGAACAATCCTGCTGTTTGTTGATATCGTAAAAAATTTGTTTTGAAAGGTATATAATCTAGAAGCCTCGAATTCTTTTATCTACCTTATGTGGAAAAAATGGTAACCAAGTGATAAGCAATTATTTACACTATATCTTTCTTAAATTTTTTTTCATCTCTTTTAGAGTTACAAATACTTAATAGGGATAATTTCAGAAACCTCCATTTGGATTTCTTATAATATCACTTAGCACTCTACAGGTTTCTAAAATCTCACTTACCTCTTTTAGATTGACACTTTTTGTGACATTTGAGCCCCTTTTGTGGAAAAGCAAGAGAGAAATTGCTTTTCTTCCAATACTACCCTTGTGTTATTCTATTTATGAAACTTACATCAACAATAAAAATTAAAAGACGGCTAAAAGATGTAGCTAAAATCTCTAGAAATTGCTTATATTCTTTTCAAAAAAAAAAGAAAAACAACATAGGCAATATTTGATATTTGGTCATGAGATCCTTTTTTGATTAATATTTTTAATGCTGGCTATATATATATATATATATATATATATATATATATATATATATGTTAGGCTTTACATACAAACCACACAAATAACAAAGATAATTTTAATTTAAAGTACAATTTTGATTACATTATGTATACAAACAATACTTCCTCAAAACCTTGCTTGACTTCCTTAAGTCGGTCCGGCAAAATTTTCTAAGGTGTAAATTACTTACTAAAATCCTTTGCAGCAGTTGACATTACTAAATTTAACTTAACGATCTAATTACAGAGGATTAGGGACTAATATTGGATGGTCATTTGGTTATTATTGTTTATAGTTTTTGGGTTAAAAATTCTCTTTTAATTTGGATTTTTGGTTAAATAACTATTAAAAATGCCAGGGTAATGTCATCAATTTATGACCATTGAAAGGGATATCTAACCTTGTCAAGCTAATAGGGAGGTAAGTGAGATTTTAGAATCCTTGGGTGCTAAGTGATATTAGAAGAAACCTCAGGAGAGCTTTTTGAAATTATCCCCACTTACTAATCAGCAAACTAACTAAACGTGAATGTGAGACTTTTATTCTTGGATCATATAGTCCAGCTTTTTTTGTAACTAAACCAAAATTTGAAGCATCATCTTTTGCACTTAAAGGACATTATTGTTTCTTTGATATATAAAAGGGACATATAATTCAAAAAATTAAGTGCTTGTTGTTTAAGGGTTAATAGCTCTTCTAAACATTAGTGATAGCAGATTCCTAGATCTTGAAAATTTTTTTTTTTATCATTAAATAACAGATTCTGAGGTCTCGATGAAATAATTTTTGAACGTTAAGAATAGCAGATTCCAATATTTGAACAATTAAACCTACTCATATAAGAGAACAATTTGCTTTAGCTCCTACATGTCTTGTAGATGGCAAGGTTGACGAGTGGCTGAGCCAAGGTAGAGAGACTTGAACATGGCACTTTTGATGTCGTTTATCATCTCAAATACCCAGTCAGAACATTAGGGATTTCAATCTTTGACAGAGCATGCATATTAGTTGTAATATCAAACCATGCATGGATAGACCTTTTTTTGCATACAATCCAATGCAAATTATGGCTAGCACTTTTGTCACTTGCTAATAACATGGGCTTGATTTATATGATCACGCAATCTATAGTTTTTTTTCAAGATGTTTTAATAGAAACAGAAATAAAAAATTGAAAGGAATTTCTGTGGATTAGAAACGGCTACCAAAAGATCAAAACCAGGTGAAAGAAACAAAAAGAGATACTGGCGCATGTGAAGTGGATACTGATACAATAACAAAGTGATTATTACAAGAGAATCATCAAATGCCTATCTTAATGGTAGCTGCATCAAGGTTCATATCATTGAATTTAAATTGTCTCACTTTGATGTGATTCTACGTTATTTCAGAACCATCCCATGCAAACTGTCACAAATTCGAGCTACACGTATCCTCTTCATGAAACGAAACAACTGGAGATAAAGAGAGGTGCCAGTTATCGTGAATTTAAGCAACATTAGACTAATTCTCCATTTGGTTCTAGTCCTTACCTAGGAAATGCAGTCCGGAAAAAGTGACCAGATGACAATGAAAAGCAAGAATTGAGGATTTGATTGTGCTTGGAAAGAACAATAATGACAATCTTGCTGACAGATCATCGCAACCAAAGCCAACAAATTTGACATAGGTTTAAGCAGAAACCAAGAAAGTAAATTTGTTAGTCAAGCACCACATTTCATTACATCTACGGATGCTACATCTTAGGTACAGATGGTTGATTCCCAGTCTAAACCATATCAATGGTACAGTAGGAATCTGATAGGAGGAAGAACAACAATATACATTGTAATATACACTTCCAAAAGAAGGCACTTGCAGATGAGCCGGTGAAGCTTGAAAATGCAGCTCCCAAAACCATATTATGAATCTAAAGATGAATACTGAGATCATCCAAGTTAGCAGACCCGTGGATCCACAACCCATGCTCATTTGCAAGATGCAATAAGCATATGAAACACAAATGAGGAGAGATGTCTCGAACAGATGATGCTGCTCTGCAGTCACTTGGAAAAGTTGCTAAAATTTGCTTGAAAGATATTTTGTGGTCTCCGAGTTTTCCTGTTTGCATTTATAAAACAAAAAAAGAACATAAGACAATGTGATAAAAAGCCCTCAGCCTATGACCACCATTCATATTAACTGTGTATTGGAAAGCTTGGGAAATGAGGATAATATGACAATTGAACAGCATGAATATTGCATTTGTTGGAGGAGCAGGCAACTAGCTATTTGCAATAATGGTTAATAGTCATTGAGTTGATCATCTTAGTCATCATTATGTTGGCCAAATATTGAATATACGTCTATGGTATTAAAGGTAATGTATGCTAACTTGGGCTCTAGAACTTCCACGTAGACAACTGTGCAGAATATGTATTAAAGGTAAAGTACCCTGATTTAAGGAAAATGTTAAGTTACCTGCACTTCTGCCAGATTTTTTTCTCTTATATGGTCCCACAGGGTTTCCTTAAGTGCCTGAACGTCAACCTGTTTTGATGTTTTGTCATACTGCACTTCAATCTTGTTAACCTGTTAGTGTACAAAAGCTCATGTGTTAGCAAACTTAGAAAACAGATTAACCCTACTTAGTAAGTTAACTTTGCAACAACTAGATTAAAACTAGAAAAAAAAATGTGGGGAGTGCATTGTTTGAATTGGAAGCATTTTAAAAAGTTAATGAAGGAAAATGAACTTATATCGTATAAAAGTTGTCCAGGCTCTTTATTCACAACGCAAGAACTAATAGAGTTAAGCTTCCAGTCAATCAAGTAACATGGATAGATGGTGCCTGATTTTTGCTTTCTCAAGCTTCTAAGGAGCCACAAGCAGCCCCAAGGGGGGAACTACTGCATTTAGACAATATCGTTCAATTTCAATTTTCTCAAGCATATTAAAGAAGGACCACTATAACCAGAAAAGCCCAACATGTAGATCTCATTACTTCCTCAAGGATCAGCTCAAAAGTAATTAAAAAAAAAATGTGTTCAAGGTTTTCTATTTCTTTGGGTTGGCTACCATCAAGAGCGATTGATAACAAGAATATCTCAGGCAATATTAAGTTGCTGACGAATTAGGAAGAACTCTTTGGAGTGAGACATTTTGTTCTAAGTGCCAAAACATCATCTAGGCAAATCAGTTTCATGAACTTAAGCATTATACACCAACAAAATGCTGTACAACTCTCAACTGCATCGTCTGTCCTGTGATTTGTCTTAATATTCAGCTGCACTACTGCAACATATGAAAATTCATCTGTAGCAACCCTTTTTGTCAAAAAAATGTATACTTGATCTTAAATGTAGATAAAAATGGGCACAATGAAGGGTTCCAGTACGAAAGACACACAAGGCAAATTCATGCTTAGACAAAGAATAGGTCAGCCAGAGCTCAATATGACAAGATGCTGGAGAGATAACATTAAACACAAAAATTGCACCTCTTGTCATTGATATTCTTCATGTGGGACTTCCGAAAATAAATTTTCATATCTACATATCAGATCATAACAGATACCTCACGAATGAAATTGTGGTGGGGAAGCAGAAAAATTATGAACTTCACAAAATTTAAAATTCTGAGTTCATAAGGTTGTCCATGATCAATGTATTAAAGCTAAGGCTGGATTGCAGGTTGCTTATACATTGATTATTTGCACAAGACATCAAACCCATAACAAAAAACAGACTAAAGATTCCATAGCCCAGATAGGTTCTCATTACTTTGATGAAGAATCATGAAGAATCTTCTAAAAGAAAAGAGTCCATTTTTCATTTTCAACCTGAAATACAATCTCATGAAGAGATAATTTCTCTATGCATATGGAAGAAGATCTTTTTAGCGTGCTTCCTTCTAAGATTTTTTATACAGTTCACTGGATGAACTCATTAGAAATACAACATTGTTAGGCTACCTTTTTTAGACAAATATTGCTTTAAGGTACTTCCTTACAAGGCAGTTTATGATAGACTAGTGATAATTGCAACATGTTAGGATTCAGATAAGCAGTTACAACAAGCTAATACAACAACAAAAGGAGAATTTTCTAGAACCAAAAATTAACAAATATCAAATAACTGAGAAGAGAAACCACAAAATTCAGTATTTGTGCACTTAGAGCTGTTTCAATTGATTGGACAATTAAACAAGAAACGAAAAAAGTAAGTTACACACATTCAAAAGCTCTTTCCTATTAGGCTTGTCCATGTCCTCTAATCATTACAATTAATCTGGCAACTACCAAAGGTCAACAATCATTAATTACTTTAGAGTCAAGACTTCCATTCTAATGTATTAAATTCAGGAGTATTTGTAAGTTTTTGACACAACATAATGTAATAAATCATGCTTAACACTACATCCCTGGTTCAAAGTGGCCAATAGTTAATAAGACAATGGGAGCAGTATGTAGTAATAAATCCAGCAGTATACGGTGTCGAGAGTAATAGTTGACAACTCAATTTTAAGCGCCTCAGTTTTAATCTTCAGTCAATTTTAGTATTTAGGATTGAAATGATAAAAAGCCAACCTGCCGGGGCTGAGAGACAAGGTTGCTTAAGTCTTCGACATTGCCATAAGCACTTTCATGATCCGAAAAGCAATCAAACCCATTTTGATCATCCCATGATGGCATTGCTCCATAATCATCTTCTTGTGGACTTGATTCATCTGAACATACAGCCAGATTTAATCATCAAAAAGCAGTAATTTATTTCTATATAAATGAAACTGGCCATGTCAGATTACATTGTCCTAGAAACAACATATTCTGAAGACATGCAATATAGATTCGCTACAAAGGAAACCAAGTGTGGAGTGACTCACTTTGCTACTAATTTTAGAATCCAAAAAATCAGGCATTGAAGCAAAATAAAATCTAACTGGAAAAGAGTGTCATTTTACTTGAGAAAATTATATTTCTCAAATTAAGCAACATGTTTGTAACTCATTTGGACATTATAGAATTCATAATTCACTTTGACATAAATGTGTGGCCAATTCCATTACTTGAACCAACAATTAAACCAACATTGGCTTTGATAATTATGTGAAATTTGCAAGACAAATCTACACGATTCCATAAGTTTATCCCAGGCTGACTCATATCCTATATATATGAAATTGGTCTGAACTTACAGGATACTACCCTGAAAGCTTTCAGAATCATAAAATTTCCATTGAACTCATTTTAGGGCGATTTTCATTCTAAAAAAAACGTAACAACTTTTGTATTGAGACTCAATCAGATTATTAGTCCTCTGTTTATTTCTTTCCTCATGCAACTGCCATGAATATTGTTTCTATTTCAAGTTCTCATTGGATGACCATTCTTTCTCCATTGTGACATGATTTAAAGAGATTGGAAACAGATGCATACACATTGTTGAACTCAAGAAAAATCCATTTGTTTATCATGGCTTTGTAGCTATATTACAGATGTGAGTAGCACTAACAGTCTAACACCATATTTGCAAAAGAAGAACGGTGCAGTCAGTTGTTGATACAGAAGATGGGCTGCAATGCTTGTAGCATGTGTATTCTAGTGAACCTGAACAAAATCGACAAAAGGATAAAGCTTACCAGGAACTTTCCTTCTTCTCCTCCCAAGGCACTATCAATAAGAAAAAATCAACCAATGAAATAGATTATCTTAAAGAGGAATATGCTATACAGTTCTCATTTATAAGTGATTGTACCATAACATTGGGTAAAAGAAACAACTTCACAAGATCCTCTGGTTGATAATGGCAATCTTCTGGAAGTCTTGTATTACAAGGTGCTCTATTTGCAGGCAGTAGAAGTGACTTCGGGTTCTTTGGGGGAGCAAAGACATTGGACATATCAGCATCCAAGGCTTTAGTAAAATCAATATCAGATTCAATTTTTCTACTCTTTGATTTTTTGGCCTTTACTGGTGATGCATCATCTTCATTCTCTGGAATTTCTGAACCATTAAAAAAGTCAACATTGAACTCATCATAACACCAGTAATGATAATAACAACTAGCACAAGACTAACAAAAGACTACCACATGTACCTTTTGCCTTCCGATACTTCCAATGATCTGGACCAGCCCAGGCATTTTGCCTTGATAAAAGTCCCAAACTTAAAAATAAATAGTCATCTACTTTCTCAAATCTGTCATCTACATCACATTCACTGAAAACACATGGTTCACCATCCTGCAAAAGTTATCGAAATCATTCCTGAAAAATCTGTCCGCATTAATCATGATTGGTAAAGATACATAGCTTGCAGCCAAGAATATTTTGTACCCCATGTAGGCTTGGCAAAATCTGACCCCCATCATAGGTTCCTTCATCCACCAAACTTGTTTCTTCATCCTGATCCAAGCCCCCACAATTTTCACATGCACCATTATCAAACTCAAAGCAATCCTCAGCTCCCTTAACTTGTCCTGGTGATTTTTCTACAGAAGAACATGGTTCACATGGTGGTCTTCGATTATCCTCATCAAAAAGGTTAACTATATCCTTAAGAGTGGGTGAAATCTCCTCCTTCTCTGGGATGTTAAACACCATCTGTTCTATGGTATCTGCATGTAAAATTTAAGCATTACAGAAATGTTATGCTCTCCCATGACTCAGAAACAGGATAGATTGCAAAAAGAACACACCTCTCATGAAAGTTATATCAATTGTTTCAGATCTGCCACGTTCAATTGCAGGCAATGTGCACTTTCCAGGTAACTCAAGTGAATCAAAAAGGACCTGGCAGTTACCATATACTCCAAGATTGTTCAATAGAAGACCCTTTGCTCCACCTTCGTCAAATTGTGCTGATGTCTGATGATACAGAGGATCCACAGCAAAGGCCACTAAAGAACAAGCACATTTCATCATGTTTATGCAGTACTATTATCCACAGAATATTAAGAAGGATCCAGACTCACCATCAAACTTTTTAACATTTAGTGCCTCAAATGATGACTCAAGCGTCGACAAAGGTGACAGCTGCAGTTATTCACTTTGCAAATTCAGATGCTAGTATTCATGACTTTGTAGTAAAACACTTATACTAGAGGAAGATATTAACCTTTCTCTCTTGGTCTTTCTTTGAATGACCTTCCTCATGACTACTGTCAATGACATCTTCCAAAGTGTTGTCTGCCATAGAAACCAAACTCTAAGGAACTAATAGATGAGATAAATAAACCAGCTCATGCCACAAGTTGATGTTATAAGCTAAACTACAAAGGTCATTAAATTGAGGACCAGAATGACTAAGCTTAGTATAAGCATGCTTTGTAGATGTTTGGTCTTTTTCCTACTTTACCAACTATTTATACATTTAACCTGTTTTAATCTTTGCCATGTCTGATGATTGCTTAGTTGCATGGTCAGTTTGTTGAGTTAGAAGCATGGGATAACTGCACACAATTTGGTCAAGACAAACTACTCACTATGCTTCTCATAGTATCTTAAATCCTTCCCCTCTTCAGCCCAATGCACTACCCCCACTTCCGCTAAACCTCCTTTCCTATCATATTATTCCAATCTTCTTTGTAAGTGGTATTTGCTGAATTATGCTGAAGTAGAGGAGTTCTTTGCTGAATTTTCCAAAATATTGAAATATCCAGGGTTTCCAAAATGAAAGGCAGCTAAACAAAAATAAAAAATTGAATTAAAATCAAATGTACAATCGACATTAACATGTATGACTTACAATTTATTATTTGTTATCTAAGATAATTACGTATGTTATCGTTGTATATCCAATCTATATTAGTGTGAGCTTTACTTCAATTAAGCATGTGCTTCGCTTTTGAGATAATAGCCCCAGGAGGCCTTGATCTCTGCTCATTTGAATACCGCAACTAGAAGACCATGAGAGCTAAATTTGCTAATAGACAAAGGACATCCCATGATTAATTAGATAGGAACAAAGCAAAGGCTGACAGCATAGCTGACAAAATTAGTTCCACATAGCAACCACTTGACATGATGACAAGATACAGCTCAAGATAGCCTTTCCACCACAATTTTCACTTAGTTACTGAATCCTGTTTCTACTTTCAATTTGTAGATGAGTAAGTCCCATTGTAAACCACAAACAGGATTCAACTTGTAAACACAAACTGATTAAGATAATGAGAAGGACAGAATAGTAACTTTTGCTTATTAAAGAGAGAAAAATCAGATTATATGAAAATTTGGAAGCTTTCTTTTGATTGAATAATTCTGGATTAAAAAAATAAAGACGAAATAGCAACTATTTGGCCTTTTTCAAGGAATCCTTTTATATTGAAGCCAAATTCATGGCATTAAATGAAGAACTGACAGTTGACCCATTGATTTACAAAAGTACTAATGTGTATTTTATTTCTTGCTTCGCTTTTATAACCATCAACCTCATACCATTTTGTATCATATACTATTTAATCTTTTAAGTTTATTATGGCTGGTCTTCCTATATGACAAAAAGTTAGAGAACCATTGCAACTAGAAGCACGTGGGCAAAGGATGTATTTCTCTTCTGAAAGAGTATGCACAGAGAAAGTAAACTCCTTCTTGCTCTAAAAGGGAGTAAATGTCTTACCTTTCTCATTTTCTTGACCAACTCGATTAATCCCTCCAAGTACCTTATATGCCTCTGAATGCACAGAATCCACCCTCATTGAGTAAATCTTTACTCCAGCTTCAAGGGTACAACTTGCCTAGAATACGAGAAAAAATAAAAAACTAGATGTGCTCATGCTTTTAGTGTTAATAGTACTGGCTTCTAATGCAAAATCAAGGACCTTATATGCTAAATTTTGGCCTCATGATCAAAGTTTATGCTTTTTATTTTTCATTTAACAGCAAAAATGCACATTTTAGCTTTAGTTTCATTCCCATTTTTGTGGAAAAGCATCATTTTGAAGAGCTGTTTATCAGAGAAAAGAGTGAGAGCAACACAAAAAGTGCAAACTAAGCATCAAGTGTTTATTATTCCAATAAAATGATATAAAGAAACAGCAAATTACTCTCATCCACAGACACCAACAGACCAAATAATACTAGAACTAGAGTCATTCATAATCTAAAATCTCTCTAAGGATCTTAGTTTTATTTAAGCTAAAGTTTTCTTTGACATGTTGCTTCAGTTCTATGCTCTTAGATGATTTTAACCTGAAAAAAGCTACTCACACAGAAGCATCCTCTAACATCTTCTTCATCTCAGCTTTTGCTTTTCAAATTTTTGAAGACACAATCATTCGTCCATTCATCAAACAATATTTGCAGCAACATCCATTTGTAAGCAGCCAGTAAAGCTAAAGGAAATTACTAACTCTCTGTATCCATTTCTAAGTCTACCATGAGTGATTAAATATAAAATCCCAGTTCAGGGTGATAAATTCTGTACTCAATTCAAGCAGTGATTCCGTAAATTATTTTTTTCTATACCTGGTTGCCTCCACAAGAAAATTCATATTAACAAGCCATAAACCAAGTCTTCTGATGCCTCACAACTCAGCATAAGCAATTGACAAGCAAATGATATTTACATACTCAATCCCACATTATTATTACAGCGCTTTCAGCAAATCCTACTACTTGATGCTATCACACAGCTTAGTCATCAGGATTCACAGCAAATACATAAGATAGACAAAAGGGTAGCTGCTTCCTAGTTCTTTCCCCTCTTTCAAAAGAAAATACATGTACTTTGAAAATTACACCAAAAACCACAAAAGAGGAAAGAACATAAGCATCATTTTTTCATAAATTAAGTTAACAAACCAACAAAAAACCATCGCAAAAAAGAAAAATTCTTCTCTTTGTTTGGTTAAAAACTGCCCAGCAATTATTATTATGCCTTGCAAAGAAAAAAACTTGTATTTATGCGTATAATCTCCTATTCGTAGCAAAATGAACTGAACTTTTAACAATAAATACCTTCTGAAAATTAGTCTCGGCATCATTTTCTTCTTCAACTTTAATAATCTCGCATAGATGATCTATCAAATTCAGCTCCCACGTATTCTTTTGATTAATTTTCTGCACCAAAAATAGTTTAAAAATGCAAACTTTTACTCATTCTAATAAATACCCAAAATTCCAACAACTAATATACACGCAAAAAGAATTCATCATACATAATTTCAGAGAAAGAAAAAACAGACATTTTCACTGGCAAGTTTGATGCAATTGTGGAACAATTCTAGAATCTGCTGCTTATCGAGGAAGGACTCATTTGCAGTGGCTACAGCGGGAGGACCGGCGGCGGCAGGCTTGCGTCGGATGGCTGCAGCACGGGCAGCGCGTGCTTGAGCTCTTTCGAGTTTGTCATCATTAGAGCCCAAGAAGAAAGGGCTCGACGGCGAAAACGGGCCTCTTTGCTTCGGGTTCGGGCTTAGGGCTTCAGCCATTTCAACTGTCATTTTCTTCAATACCTCAATATGAACAAACCAAATTTGTCTAATTCCTGGGGATTTCAAAACTGCATGCACTAAAATCTGTCCGGCTGTGTATTTATTAGCCGTGCCGGAGAACTTTCGCCTGCGCCTGGAAGGCGAGTGGTTGTGGGAGTGTGAGAGTGGGTTACTTGTGTGTGTTGTGTGTGAGAAATTTCGAAAATGAGTTCTTCCCTCCTCTGCATTTGAATATGCGAGGGGATGAGAAGTTGGGTTGGGCTTCAAATAAATTGGACTTGGACCAAGGGAGTTGATAAATGGACTAATTAATTATAACGGGCCTTATGTTGACCAGACTTTGCACAAACCAAAATTAGAGAGAGAAAGATGAGGACCAAAAAAAAAAAAAATAAAAATTATAGAGAAAGATGAAAAAAATTCTCTAATTTGTCAAAGGATAGTTGATATTTGATTAAAATTATACAGTCAGTAAATTAATCCAGAACTGTAAGCAAAGCTAGTAAATTTAGTAGCACTAGAATTTGCCTTGAAATTTTGTTTTTAAATAAAGAAGAAATTTGCAGCAAATTTCTGGTTTTTTTTTTTTTTTTTACTTCCCACCCTTTCACACACGATTCAAACTTTGAAATTGATAATAAAAAAAATTGTAAAAATCCTAACGACATGTTAGATTTATTAGTTCATTCTGAGATATAAAAAACAAGTTTACAATGGAATTTTGTGAACGCACAAAAAAATTCTCTTACCGTTTCACAATCGATATCTTATTTTAAAGAACCGTATAGCATTGTTGGGTCGGATCTTTATATGGTATTGTTGTCCGGATCCGGATAAGCACCGCCTTTTTTCTTCAACGCAGAGAACCCTATGCCCCGGTTTTACAATCTCCCTCTTTCCCTCCAGCAGGTTAGTTGAACCACTTTTTCATATTCTGCAATTGGTTATTACTATTATCTTTCTTTACATTTTTGGTTCATTCAATAAGATTTTCCAAGGCTTTATCATTAGAAGTATATTTGCTGGCATATTTAGATACTTTGATTGAGGTGATTTGCAGTGTTATTGATTGTACAATTCAAACTCCAAAGCTGAAAAATGTGTGAACTACGGCATAATTTTCTACTTTTACAAGAAAGTTAGATGTTCGGAGATAATAACATTGGTTAAGTTTTTTATATAACTATTGGTGTGCTAATTCTTGCGATTTTGGTTGTGAGTGAGATAATATATGATAGCTTTGATAAATTTAAAAAAGAAGTGAAAAAGAAAAGAACTTTCAAACGATTTATTTGCACTTTCAAACACTTTCTTGAATACTGAATTCATTTAGATTGAATAGGGAAATACGATATGGTACTATTTTGGTTTAAGCTATGATCCTGTGAAACATTTGAGTTGATATGTCCGCTTTTAAAGTTTACTGAGAGCTGCTATAATGCAACTACTTGGTTGTCGATATTTGTGAGTTTAGGTGTAAGAATTGCTAGGATTCGTGTTTTATGAAGTCGGTTTCGGAGGTGATGCTGAAATCATGGAAGAGAGGAGGGGAAGCGAAATCATGGAAAAAGAAAGCAAGAGGAGGGGAAGAGAGGGGGGGGGGAAGGAGTTGCAGTATTATAACTTTATGGTCTGATTTTCAAAAGGGAGAAATTTAAGGTTCTGGAAATCTCTTTTATTTTTAGCAGATATCTGCACTCATCGAGAACATGGGATTTAGTTTGCTTTGTTACTGCCTTTAGATTTTGTAGGTGTTATTAAAGTAGCTTCTTTTGTGGGATGTCACATAATAATTTATTTACATAGTGCTGGTTCTGGTTTGTCTAAATCAAGAATGAATTAAAATGTATTTTGGCTGCTTGTTAGCATCAGTAACTGTAGATAGCTGGTTATAAATATGGTCTACATAGAAACAGTTCAGTTCTTGGAATGTTCTTGGAGCTACCAATGGCTTGAAACTACAGCAGAAAACAATGATGATAGGAAGATTCAGTGAAAAAACTATATGTTAATCCTAGTTGTTGTTCCTTCATGCTTTTCTAACTATATTACTCCTATTCATTTATTTTCTCCTGTCATGTGTCTGTTCTGGTAACAGATTAACTTGCATGTTTAAGAATATTCATGTAGAACAGACATTCTTCAAGCTTCTGTATGCTTTGGATGCCGCTCTAGTTTTGGTTTTGATGCTGATATAGATTTACCAGTGTTTATGTGTGACTACTTCATTTTAATCTGATGCCCATGCAGTTCTGTTGAAGAGGTTGGAAGAAAGTAAAAACTAACTTAACTTTGTTTGCTTTGACATTATGGGGTGCATAATGTCCAATTGGAGGAGGTAGATATCATTTTTACTTCATCTTGTTGACATTAGTATTTTGATTAACAACATCACTTAAAGACTTTTTTTTTGGCAAGGTATAAATGAGAAAGGTGCTTTTGAGATCTTAACGAACTTGATTGGTGGTATTCTATCATGTTGATTTTCATAAAAGTCCAGAACAGACTAGTCCTCCAGGTATAAAACTATTAGTGTGGTCAAAGAAGTTGTTCTTAGTTTTTACTTCATTTTATACCATGAATTTACAGACATTACCATCATCTTTTTCATGCATTCTGTGATGTTGGCCTTCCCTCTGTTTTATTGTTATTTTTTTTGGGTTTTCTTTTTTTTTTTTTTTTTTCAGATAGCATCTATTGATCCTGAGTCAGTTGCTATTTTTATATTTTTGAGCTGTTGACTAGGGGAACCTTTGCTCTAACATGTACTTGTGCCACTTAGAATTGTAATCTTATCCTGCATCTAATGTGATCATGAAACATACAAATCGGAAAGTGTATCCAAAGTTGATCCTCCACAGTCTCTACGTGAAATTTGGAATTTCACCTTCCTTAAAAATAGCTGCTACACGTCACTTGGACTTAATTGTTTTGAATGCCAATTGTAGGATGCCAAACTTCCATTTGGGAGGTGTGATCAAATCAACGAAGTTGGGCCTTCCCTTTATATGGAATAGAAGGATTTGCCATAATAATTAGATAGTAAATGTTTGTTCTGGTAGTGAAAAGCTAGCTAAAAGCAGCTTCTATTCTTGTGTCTATGATGCTCAGGGAATGTGAAACATGAACAAGTTACAAAGGGGAGTTTTCTGGAATTTGTTTTCTAGAAAAGATGTGGAGTTAAATTATCTGTTGAGAAGATCATTCTCAATTTCAAGCCACCCTGTCAGAGACTTGGCTTCCAAAGATGGGGAGCTCAGAGTGTTCATCGTTGCTGGTGAGGTTTCTGGTGACATCATAGGGTCACGCTTCATGGATTCTCTTAGAAAGCTGAGTCCTTTTCCTGTTCGATTTGCTGGTGTTGGAGGGTAAGCTGTTAATTTTGTTTGTAAAGTCCTTATTCTAGACTGGATAATGAAATTATGTTTACAAGTTCAATGCACAAATACACACAAGTTTCTGGTTTCAGACATAGTATTTTCTTGATATTAAGGCCCATGCCCTGCACTCTACCAATGCAATTGATAGCTTAAGATGGAGAGGCAGGTACTTATTCTGCATTAATTAAATATTTTAGCTTTAGTTATTTTAGTTTCCATTTCTCTAATTCTTGTTGATATGTTATGATTTACTTGGTAGTGTAACACTTGATGATTTGCTTTATGGTCATGTATGGTTATTAATCTTCTCTGTCTGTTTTCTATGTGTTTTTGATCTTTTCCATCTTTGATGTCATTTCAGCTACTTGATGTCTAAGCAAGGCTTAAATTCTCTCTTTCCTATGGAAGATATTTCAGTGATGGGTATTTGGGAGTTGTTGCCACACCTTAATAATTTCAGAGTACGTGGTGAGCAGTCTGGTTTTCCTATTTTTTTTATTGTATTTTATAATAGTGTGAGTTGTGGTCCTTTGACATGCATAATTCGAAATAACAGGTTAAACTGAAACAAACAGTTCAGGCTGCTCTTTCATTCCAGCCTCATGTCGTACTAACGGTGGACTCAAAGGGATTCTCTTTCCGTTTCCTGAAGTATTTGCGAGGTAATTTTGGTGTAATTTCTTTTCAGGATGATACAGCTTCTGTTTTCCTTCTGCATAGTGAAAAATATTGTAGGAGTACGGTAACATGTTTTTTGCAGCTAAATGTATCGAGCAGGGAATCATTAGCCCTAAACACTTCCATTATGTATCACCATCTTTCTGGGCCTGGAAAGGGGGTGAGGCAAGGATTAAAGGGCTTTCTGAGTTTATAGATCATGTATTATGTATCCTCCCATTTGAGGCTGAAATTTGTAAGTTGAACGGAATAGCTGCCACATTTGTAGGACACCCCACTCTGGAAGACATGATAGAGTTGAAGGTGATTCCATTTTTGCAGAGTGTTTGGTCTGGCCTTTCAATAAATTCACAACTTTTTATTTGGAAGAGACTATATTCATCAGCATTGAAGGACTTGATATCTTCTAATGTTTGTGTAGGAAATGAAAGTGAAGTAATGTCAGAAGTCTAATAGTACTAATGCGCTAGAGATTTTATTTCCAGGAGAAGGGAGCATCTGGAGAGATTCAAGGAAATGGAGAAGAATTTAGAAGTGAACATGGGATAGCTTCAGGTATTATCTCGTGAATCTATCACTGGCTGCCTTGCTGCTTCATTGTTGAAAACTATATGTTCTTGAAATTTTATTCATAGTTAGTTAGTTACTATGTTAGGTTGCACAATGAGTGAAACTTGGATTAACTTGAAGATAGAAGATTGTCGCAAAGAAAAAAGAGTTGGCTATACCAGCTTTTGTAATTCCTATCTTATGCATTTAGTGTGATTAGCCAACCATTTTTGCTTTGTATGTTTAGCTTGTTTTATTTTTCCCTAATCTGTCCAATTTGAGTTTGTCTTTTGTTTTAAATTTTGAAGGATCCACCGTCATTAGCTTGCTTCCTGGAAGCAGAGTTCAGGAAGTTACACGAATGCTTCCAATTTTCTCAAACACTATGGAG